AAAAATCTGCTTGCTTTTAAACACATTAAACTTCAGTAATTTACTAGACTACGTGTTTTGTTAATTCAAAACAAAGCCCGTCTCTTTAATCGCCAAAGATCTCTTTTGCCTTTCATCAGCATGGCTGATGCTAGCCTCCAGGAGAGTGACACCTTGTGTCCTCTATGGTCTGATGTTTTCCCTTGACATGAAGAAAAATAGAAACAAAAAGGACACTACTTAGAATCAGAGACAACTGAAATTTCTAGGGCACATCATGAGGAAAGAGGACTTTGAGAATTTGACCCTCACAGGACATATTAACAGCAAACCTGACAGATGAAAGCAGCAAATAACTTACCTAAATGGTTGGTAGAAGATAGCAAAAAATTAAACTTTACTAAGAGCTACAAAGAACAGAAAGTCTTGGAGAGCCATGACTGCCCATATCCTCAAAGGATGTGGCACATAGAAGAACTGACGAGTGGTATATTTACAAAACTTGAAATCTGAGAGATAAATCTTGATTTTTTTCTTCATCTCTGAATTATTGTGGCTGTATTTGTTTTTTTTTGTTTTTGTTTTTTTCGTTTTTTAATATTGAGCACTTTGTTTACAAAAATCTTCTTGCCTTTAAGCATGTTAAACTCCAGTAAAATACTGGACTGCATATTTTGTTAGGTGTTAACAATCTGTTATTATTTTATATAAATTGTTAAATTCAAAACAAAACTACTCTCTTTTAATTATCATTGCAACTTGGATTGAGGAATCGGAGAGTAGAGTTTGAATTCCAGTTGAGTTCATTGCATTCACTTATGGACTAATAACCTTGGCAATGGTATAACTGCAACTCCCATCAAGTTATAATTAAATAGCAGGACAGATTGGGTTCTATAGCCTTGGCTAGGAACTGGTCTACAAGAAAGAAAAATTTAAATTCAAAACTGTATGTTGCTCTGGCGAAGCACATACTATGCAGCTAAGGAAAGGATCATTCACATTGCCTCTATGATTCCAACTACAGCCAATTCCTTTGAGCAGGGATCAGCAACCTTTTGCTATGTGCCAACTTAAGGTTTTAAAATCATTCAGAGTGCCAACAGCATACATATTTTTATACAAGTCAAGGTCAATATACCTGTTCTACAATATATAGTGTATATACTTTAGTATATATTAAAATTGAAACAGCTAAATATCTTCTTTGTATTGTAGCAGTTATTGGTTTGGACTTCATGGTCTCATTTGCGGCTGCATGCCATTGACATGTCACATGTGGCACACATGCCGTAGGTTGATGACCCCTGCCTTAGAGAACCTCTTTTGTCTTTCAGCAGCATGGCTGATGCTAACCACCAGAAGTGTGATTCTTTGTTCCTCTTCCAGCTAACATTTTCCCTGACATGAAGTAGAAAGATTATATTGAATCAATTGCTTAGTCTGCTGCTCAGAAAGAAAGAAAGATAAAACAAATGCTAGTGTCTTCTCTTATGTAAACATGAAGAAACACATCACATTTCTGACAAAATGAAAGCCTTTTTAGTGATTTTGCTTCTTATTACAACCCTTAACTCCACAAAGAGTAATAAAAATTAAAGTACGTTGAATTATTTATGAATTTTTTAATGGATTTGTTTTTTATTTTGCATTTTTTTATTTTGCGTTTCAATTTTTTTTGTTTTCAACGTCAAAACATGCATGCAAAACATAATGCATTGCATCAAAATATTACTCTTTCTTTTATTAGTATACAAAAATTAAGATCTATACACACAATACAAAGAAAGTTATAACAATTTTAAGACAGTAGGTTCAGGTTTTTGAACCCTCAAAAAAAATGCAGTGGCAGGGGGGAAACAGTTCTAGAAAGAACTTAGTGTGATAAAGGTTAATAATGTTTTTTTCTCAGACTCTTTTACACTCAGTAACCCCTTGCATCTTTGTAGCCTTTATTGGGATGAGATGATTAAAAAAATGTCATCTTGCTGATCTTTGGCGAAATGATTCTTTTGTGTTTTTTTTTTTTTTAGTTATGTCTAAATAGATTTTTGGTGAAATCTGGTACTGTTTGGAAACCATGAAAAATATTGAGACCTTTCAGAACTTGAATGATATGAAGGTGTGTTCTGAAAGGCCTGCAAGGAGTTGCAGAGCAATTGACATTTAACAATGCACTCACCTTTTTCTCTTGAAGCTAATGACACAACTATTTACTCCTGTAAAGAGCTTTCCTCTATGGTACCCTATCTTCTATGAATTTAAAGCACAGTACCAGACCTCTTCATTTTACTGTTGTTATGGCGAGATGGAACTGTAAGTTCTACATCAACAGTTTCTTATCTCACACTACTCACTTGTGTAACTTGTCCAACATTTAGACTATCAGTCAACTTTGATTTACAAAATTTTAAATGCAATGTCAATCATTTTCTTTTGCCTTTTTAATTTCTCTTCTTTCATTATCCTTTCTGCTTAATGTTTTTTTCCTTTCTCAGTAATTCCTTGCATCTCAGTGGCTTTATAGCCTTGAATAGGATGAAATGAAAAAAAAAAATCACTTCAGTCTTGTTCTCCAAAAGTCATCATTTTGCTCTCTTTTTTTTATCTTTTTTTTTTTTTTAAAGTTCTGTCTAAATACATTTTCAGTGACTGTTTGGAAGTCATGAAGAACATTGAGGCCTTTTGGAACCTGATGAATGGTATCAATCTGAGTTCTGAGAGGCCTGCAAGGAGTGGAGGAGCAAATGACATTTTACAACACGCTCACCTATTTCTTTTGAATCTTTGATGATTTAAACTAGAGGTGGCAGTTTGCAAAAAAAAAATCCATTCTTATGTGCACCGATTTCCATGGTAGTCAAAATGGATCTCTAGACACAGATTAATTTTGAAATGCATTCAGATAAAGTTGTCCAATTCCTTTTATAGTAAATGCATTCTTATGTGGCTCATTAGATAAACACAAGAACAGCAGACATTTTGGTAAGTAGGACATCTGAAAAGATCTTGGATGACAGCCAAGGGTGAATTCTGTGTGCGATGTTTTCAATGGCATTTCCTCGACTGCAGGACTAATTTTACATCTCTGCTTTTAACAGTCCACACAAGCATGTGGCCAACCAATCAACTGGCATCATGTACTGGCCACCAGCAGCTCTTGAGCCTGATTGCAATTTACAAAGTTGGAATTTTGAGACTAAATGGCACATTTGTAAACATACAATAGAGGCTGTCTTTCAGCTTTTAACCAAATTGGTAATGAAACATTTTACCCCCTCCCCAAGTATGAGTGTGTCTTTTCAATGCTTGATTTCAAACTGATTTTCAGTGTAAATCCAAGGGGGTTCATTATGTCTCAATGTATACAGGCTCAGCTCGCCTAATATTGTATAAGTATTCTTTTGTCACTAGTAAACATGTGCAAACTAGAAAGGGCAACACCCATTCCCCAAACATATGAAGAGGTGCTGAAAAGTACTCAGCTTAACTCATTTCCCTAAATCTAACCAAAAGCCCCCCGTCTTTTGAACAGGAGTAGAGGTTTCTTGTTTTCTTTAAGAATTGGGTTACCTTCTAATATCTTTTCATTCACTTTCACTCCTAGTCCCTTGTGTCTTAGTGGCATTATTGCTTTGCCTGGAGTGAACTGATTTAAAATAAAAAAAAAATAGAATTTTATTTATTTTTTAAAATCCTTTTTGGTTCAGGTTGAGAACTTTTCATCATGGTTTCATACAGTCTATGGTGATACTTTAAAAGTTCTATCAAACCTCAAATAGATTAAATAAATTTCTCGGCTATATCACATTGAAACACTGGTTCGAAGTTAAGCAACATAAAGCCTGGGTCAGTGCCAAGATGGGTAACAGTTTGGGGATACTGGATGCTGTAAGCTTGGATGTGTGGGTTGCGTAATGGATAACAACTTGGAATTGAAAATTGGAAAGCAGACTTCCAATTTCAGTCATGTTCATTATATTCACTGACATGCCAATATCTTTGGGAAAGGTATGAATCTAAATTTTCTCCCCCCAACCATGGATTAACTAGTAGAATTTTTATCACTAAATATTTATTTTCAAAAAATTCTTAGAATCTAAGGATTTTTCTAGCTATAAATAACCTGCAAAGAGTTGATAAAATGAAATCAATCAATCAGTAAATAAATTTCTCCAGTAAAAACACAAATAGTAGAATCTCTCCATGAATGGATTAAAAAAACAAAAATAAAAAAATCATTCTTCCCAGGTGTTACTTGTTCACCTGTTGCCAAAAATTAAAATACTTCATGGAAAAAACTAAAAAAAAACTCAAATCTCAGACTTTTGTGATGTAAATTGATTTTTTTTAATGCAACCTGGAACATGTGTTTTATTTTTTTTTTTTTGTCACTTCTGTTTGAAACTTGGTAAACTTCAAAACTGTTTTGTTAAAATATTTTAAAACTTAGGGATGGGTTTGTAACAATAGAAAATATTATGCTTGATTTGACAAAAAAAAACAAACTTTAAACTATACAAATTACTATTACTATATAGTATTTCAAACTACTATTTTCATCTTCATTGATGCAGATATTATTAAAGACACAACATTTCGACCAAGTACCCTCTGGTCATTATCAGATGTCCATTGATTGGCTAATATGGAATATCTATTGATTATTGGGATAATCAATGAACAGCTGATTATGATCAAAAGGTACTTGTTCAAAATATTGTCTATAATAATAAGAACAGTCTAACCTGTAGATTAAAAAAGGATTCAGTTACAGGTTACTCAGATACACTTGAGGAAACAGCCAAAATATTGTGATAACAACAACAAAGATGAGGACAGTAGTCTGAATGTAAATTAGTTTTTAAAAAATAATTTTGTGCAAATCAAATGATTTTAGGATCTTTTATAATCAGGTTTTTTTTTTTTTTTTCCATTACTGTCAAGAAGTGGAAATGTATTCTAGTCTGAATTTCTGCGATAAAGTATTCTTACAATGACTCTTTTTGGCCACATGACTTTTGAAAATACCAGTTCCCATACGATCACCTAAGATAAGCAATGACGAGTCTGGTCAGTACCTAGATGGGTATCCGCTTGGGAATATCAAGTGCAGTTGGTATAAATGGATAATCACTCGGAATGGTTAATCTCTCTTTAGTGCAGTGAGTGGGGGGAGGTAGGGCTTCAGGAAGCTGTTTCCTGAAACCAACTACCTCTTGATAATATTTTCAGTTGTGTTCTCTCGACAGACAGACACAACGGAGTGGTGGTCTGTCCAAAGACGGACACACAACTGAGAGATAAAATGTAGTTTATCTGCCTGTGAGCAGACGCTACACTTTGATCCAAGCGAAATGGTGACCACAATAAAATATCATTTTCCAGACACAGTATTGATCAATGGAAAGTGAGTAAGCTCATTGTCAAAAATCCAATTGCCAAAAATAAAATAATATATATATATATATATATATATATATACATACACACACACACACACACACACACATAATAATTTTATATATATATATATATATATATATATATATAAATATAATAATTAAAAATATTAGACTTGGTAATCCGTTTTGGGTAATCCCAAGGAGGAGGAAATCCTGAGAGTTCAATGTAAAACCAGAGTTTATTTAAAAGTAAAAACAGACCACTTTAAGGTTTAATTACAATAATTTATTTTTTTTGAAAATAGTCTAGGAAAAAAGTAATGCGGATCATCAAAAAAATGAAACTTTTAATTTATTAAAATTTATTCGAAAAATTTCATTGTTAAAAATTAATTGATTTTTTTTATTTTTAAAAGGACTTTTTGTTTAAATTATTGTAATAGTAATTTTTGAAAAATATTTTTTTTTTTTTATATATATATATAAAAGGGCAATCGATCCATTGGTATATAATCCGGGTTGATCCTAGTAATACTAATTATTGAAATTGATTTTATTATAAAATTGATAATTTTTTTTTTTTTTTTTTTTTTTTGAAAGTTATCCTGAATGGCCACTCCTCTAGATCCTTTTCCTCAACTAAGGAATTTGTCCCCTGAGACTCCATCTCTTGTCCTGCTTAGTTTTTAATTTTCATTAATGACCTTCCTGGTGACGTCAGCTCTCAACTTTGCATCTATGCTGATGACACAAACATTTACTTCTACCTCGATATTAAGGCTTATCAGTCCGACAAGGCTAAAATGGCAACTCTTGTTCAAAACGACCTCATGTCTGTTAACTGGGGCAAAAGATGACTTGTTAATTTTAATGCCTCCAAAACTAAACTTCTTTAATCAAGCATGGCTGATGCTAACCTCCAGGAAAGTGGCCTTCATTGACCTTCTCAGGTTGGAAAAACTTTTGAATTCATTGCAAGGTCAGCTGCTAAGAAAGTTGGTTCACTGTGTTGTGTGAGACAATTTTTCTCTCAATTTCTATCTTACATATCTATAAGTCTACCATTCATCCATGCTTAGAATATTGCTGCCACATATGGTCCAGTGCCCCCTGCTATTTATCTTGAGCTCCTTGATAAAATCCAAAGAAGAATCAGCAATATTATTGATCCTGATCTGGCAGCTCAGCTTCAGTCACTTTCCCACCACCATAAAGTTTCCTTCTATGTCTTTTTTCTATAAATGCTCTCATGGTAATTGTTTGGATGAGGTCTTCACTATGGTACCTAGCGATTTTGAATTTAAGTGCAGTACTAGACTGGCATTGAGATCTCATCAATTGACAGTTGAGCTGGCCGCTAGATGTAGCTGTAAGTTTGATGCTAACAGTTTCTTTTCTTCTCGCACTTCTCACTTGTGAAACTCCCTTCTGACTCCATGCTTTCCAGCCAACTTTAATCTGCAAAAATTTAAATGCAATGTCAATCACTATCTACTGTCCTGTCCTGATTACTCTTTTTCTTCCCGCTCATTATTAATGTTTCTGTTCCTAATTCTTCCACACCCTGTAACCCCTTTGTGTCTTAGTGGCTTTACTGCCTTGCTTGGGGTGATACCAATTTAAAAAAAAAAAATATATATATTTTCATAAATTCTTGTCATCCTTTTTAAAACAAAATTCAATTATTGTGAAATCTGAAAATAGATAAAAAAAAAATTAATTTTTTGAAAAAATATGAATTTATTTAAATTTTTTTTTTTCAACTAAAATTTTTTTTAAATTAACCATTTTTTCCAAATATGCTTTTTTTTTTTTTTTTTTGCAGAAATTGTCTGTTTGATTTAAATTTTTTAAAATTATGCATTGTATCTGAAAAAATCTTTTGTGTTTTTATATATATTATATATGAAAAAAAATTTGCTTTTTTTAAAAATTTCAAAACAAATATTTTTAGATATTTGCTTTTTTAAATTTTCTTAAATTTTTCTAAATATATACATTCCTAGGTGGATATATATAAATATATATATAATAGTCTGGTTAACAAAAAAAAAAAAGGAAAACAAAATGATAATTTTGATCAAAATTTCCTATTTATTTATATATAAGATTAATAATTTGAATGGATTGTCTTTTTTAACAATGCAAATTTTAATGTTTTCATTTTTAACATGTCTGTGTTTTTTTTAACAATACTATTCAAACAAATTCATTTAAACAAACCACATAAAGCAATTCATATTTGGTTAGAGGTTTCTGTCAAAATTATTAAAAATTTTTAAATAATTCCTTTTTAAAAATCACATTATTTTTTTTTTTTTTTTGCTAAAATTTATTTTTTTTTTTTTAATTCTCAACATTTGAATGAAAGATTAAATTAAATTTATTTTGTCATTTAAACTAAGATAAAATTTTGTTGTTAATTTTAAATTAAAAATATAGCATAAAATAAATTTGTTTCTATTTGGAAAAGGTTTTTAAGCAACTGAAAAATTTTTTTTTATTTTTAAAAATTATTTCAAATTACAAAAAAAAAATTAAAATTTCTTTCATTTGTATTGGCTGATTTGAAAAACCAAAACAAATCTTTGCAAATTAAAATATACAATTTATATTTTTCCATAACAGCAGAATCTTTTAATATATAATATAAATAAAATATAAATCCACAAAGCCTTTTATATATATATGTTATATATATATTTATAAAATCTATTATATAAAATTATGAATATATCATATATATAATATAAAATATATTTATATTTTTTTTCAAAAAATGATTTCTGATTAGAAATATATTTATAAATATTTTAAAAAATTTTTGAAATAAAAAAATAAAATAAATAAATTAAAAACTTCTTGTAAAGAAATTTATAAAAATGCAACTTTTATTTTTTTTAAATAAATAATTTTTTAAATTTGAATATTTTTATTAAAAAAAACATATTTTAAATATTTTACAAATTATCCCATTTATCAGCATATTTTAAATTATTTTTTCATAAATAACTTAAAATTTAATATATATATAAAAACAATATATATTTATATATATATATATATACCACACACAATTTTTGAAAGATTTTCCATTTGTTTTTTTTATGTTGTTAACCAAGAAGGTTTACTGAAGGTAGAATAAACTGTTGATTGGAAATGAAATATATATTTAACTTTTTTTTAAAAATGTATCACCTTTCATTTTAATGAAGTACACATAAACAAATTCACACATGGACTTGACACAGACATGCATGCATGCATGTATGTATGTATAATGTATATATATTTACACAAAAAAAAATTATAAATTGTGTGTGTAAATTTTTTGGTATATTATAATTGACATTGAGTATTTTTTTTTTTTTTTTAATAAAAGTTTATTTTTTTTAATTTTTTTTTATATTATTTGCAGAAGGAAAATTGTATCTTGTATGTTTAAATTTTTTTTTTTTATTTGGCATCCATAAAAATCCTTAAAAAATTTCAAATATTAATTTTATTGAAAATTTTTTAAAAAAAATATTTAATAAAATATTTGATGCTTATTTGATAAATTTTATACATCCTCAAAAATAAAACAATTAGTTTGTATGATTTATTCAATGGTTAAATTTTCAATTCAAATATTATTTCACTATATCAAGAGTAGTAACACTATTTTTAAATATTTTAGTATTATTTTAGAAGAAATGAACATTTTTGTAACAATTATATTTTGAAAATAAATATTGAAAAAAAATCTTAAATTGTTTTAATTTGAAAAAAGCAAAATGAAATTGTAATTAATTTCCCAAAAATCACAATGTAAAAATAATATTTTTGAAAATAAAAAAAAGAATTTCAAATATTTTTTTCAAAATTTTTTTTTTTTAAAATTTTGAAAAATGTCATTTTTTATATTTATTAAAATACAAATATTGGACTAATACAACTTGGGGGATTTTATTAAAATTTGATTGTCCATTTAAAATGGGAAATTTCTTTTTTCTTATAAAACCATTATAGTAAATTACCAATAAAATATCATATTTTATTTTTATAATGTAAATTTGCATATAAATATATGTAAATTTATATATATATAAATATATATTAATCTAGATATATTATATCTCAATAATCTGTATTTTAATGTTTTTTGGGTTTTTAAATTTCCTCCAGGCAAGGCCTCTGAGCAGATGTATTGAGTTTTGGAACATTTGTAATCAAATTTAATTGTTGGTGTTCCTTTTTTTTAAACTTGGGGTGACAAACAGAAACAGGTAAAAAATCATTCTATTTAAAATTTTAAAAAATTAAAAAGGTGTTTTTCAAAATGAAAGTGTAAAAATAGTTTTTTACATTTGAACAATTCTTTTTGTTTTTTTTAAAAAATAAAAAATTATATAAATTATTTTCTTGAATAAAATTATTACCAGCAATACATTTTGGAAAAAAAAATATTATTTTTTTTGTTTTTTTTTTAAAAAAAAAAAAATTTTTTCGGAAAAAAAAAAATTATAATAAAAATGAATAAATGACCCATTAAATTGATATCAATAAACCAAACCAAATTAATCAAAATAACAAAAAATAATAGATTTTTCAACAGCTTTTTCTCATGTTGCATTAAAAATGTATCCTTAAAAAATTGTGTACACCCATTTTTTTACAAAAAAAAAAAACCATCTGCCACTCAGTTGGTCAAACAATCTAACTAATTATG